TAGGAAGAAATGGGAGGAGGATTAAACCAAACTTTCCCAGATTAGTGTGCTTAGCAATGCAGTATTACCACTAGGTCAGCAGAGCACTTTGCCTGCTTCCTGTTCCTTATGCAATGTGTCTGTGTTTCAATTTGCTAGCTTAGTTTGATTTGTTTACAACTGTTTGGGGTGTGTGTATTTGATTTTTTTTTTGTTTTGGTTTTGTTGTTGTGTTGTTTGTTTTTTTTTTTCCCCTAGTGATATAATGTATGATTTTGTACCTCCAATGGGAACAAAGTGTGGCAGAGGTTGGGAGGGAGGATGAGGGACCCAGGATTAACTCTTCCACATGGGCAGGGGTTGGGTAACAAGTTTATGGTGTTCTGACACAAAGAACTGAGCCTATAAATGAAAAATGTGACCTGCTGGCGTCAATGGGATATCAGTGATATGTGGAACTGTTGTCCCAAAATCAGCCCAAAATCCCAAAGTAATTTTGTGTCAGGCCGTTCCATCAATTTGTTCTGTACCTGGAGTAGCATGCCATGAATGTCTACTTGGGATCTATGTGTGACCATTGTCACCTAATCGTATACTTGATACGATGTTGTTAGCTTACACTCCTTTGAGACCCTCAGAGTTTATGTATTCCCCCATTATTCTGTCAGACACTGGAGACTGCTCCTCGGGAGTGGTGGTCACTGGAAGATGTTTCTTCCACACGCCTCTTTCCATTACCCATCTTCAGACTCTCCCACACAGATGAGTAATGATGCTCTTTGTTACTCCTTGGATATCGGATGAGGAAATTGAGGATCTGGTAGTCTTTAAAAACCAAACTGGTAGAAGCTTTGAGGGTAGCTAACACAAAGGAAGAGGATGCTTTTGGTGTCAGCCCCTTATTCTGAAGCTTCTTTTAGTGTTAGCAAGTTTAAGCCATAAGCATTTATTGTCCAAATTCAGAACAGACCACGCAGTTGCAGACTTTGCAGGAATAAGTGAGCTGAACTAAAAAGGGACGAAGAGGCATGTTTCTAATACTCAGTTTGTTTCGCAACGTTTCTCTCACCCTGACCCAGCTGTACAACTGACAGGTGGCATCACAGTTGCTATGTGAGGACTTAAGTCTTCTTGCAGTTCTTACTCAGCTCTGTCTTTGAGGTTGTGGTTATGAAAAAGATCCCAGGTCTGAGAACCTCTGCTTCTTTTTGTAATCTTAAATTCATCTTTGAACTCCACCCACATGCCTACAAACAAACCCTTTTAATGTCATCTGTCCACATGCAAGGGGTCTCATCCTTCCTGTCATCATGTCGTTGTTTGCTAGCTGCCACTTTGAAGGTGGCAAAGTCTCTTGGATGTTCTTACAGCCTGGGAGCAGATAGTTAAGGCTCATTCCTATCCTTGCCTGAACCCTTAACGAAGTTTGTTAATTTATTATAAGGCAAGACATCCTTTTCCATCCACTGGCTTGGGAAATACTTAAATGCCAAGGGTTTGTGCAAAGCTTTTTCATATTAAAAACTACACAATCTGCATAACTAACCTGCAAATCTTACATGAATCCTTGGCATTATTATTATATGAAAGTGTAATGCTCATTACTAATTGGTCTGAGACAAGAAACAAGACTAATCCGTCGCTGTGAGGTGAGAATAGTCATGGGGTGCACATGATCTGAGTTTGGACCCAGATTAACTCAGTTCTGAGCCCTTGTTTGTACCTTGGAAGGCCTCTGCTCTTCCATCTCCAGCGACCTGTGAGTATTATCACCATAGTGTTTTAAGATGGTCAGAATTAGCTCACTCATCTTTTCCTGCCATGTGTTCCCGTACAGCTGCTGTTACCTACACTGTGGCTGTATTTCTTTGATCTTTCTGAGCGCTTCGGTGCACTTGAGACTCTCGCTAAGTGTTTGGGCCTTGCTGTCCGTACTAACCCTCCTTCCTGATGTGCCAAGGCGGTGCAGAAGCACCAGGCTGTAATGCAGTATGGCAGAGGTGGCATCAGGCCAAAGTAAAGGGTGTTTCAGAATCTCTGGCCCAGATAGTTAACTGTGCTATGCTCTGCTTGCTCAGGATGACAAGGGACAGTAAGAGAGCACACAAACTCTGTCCTAGTTTTAATAGTTTTCTGTACCAGCCCCAGCATAAAAGGTGCTATTAAAGCAGTTCAGAGATTGCTCTGAGTTTTACAAACTCTCTATGACCTTATATCTTTGAAGAGTGGAAGAGATTATTTTAAAATTAAATTAAATTCAAAGTGATTAGTTTTCTGCATTACTGAGGAGGAGAAGGATATGACAGGGGTTAAGACAGATCCCAGTTCCCCCCTTCCCCTTTTTCTTTTATTCCAGTTTTAAGCCATGGTTAACATGGGACAGAGTAGTTGATATACTAGTGTTAGGAATACATTCATTAAAGATTGACATACCCAAATGCTTGTCTGTTTTTTCCAGTTGTAAATCAAAATTATATGCCCTCCCTACAAGTCTTGCTTTGCGTAAGTGTATCTTGAAGGTGTGTGTACTTTCACTGGCCAATTTAGCCATGAGAATACAGGACTATGTGCTCTTTTGTACTCCTGTATCAACTTAAAGCACTGGAACTACATCAGTACATTCCCTGAGCGTGAATGCATTATATAAAGGCACATCTACGGGTTCTCTTTATTGCTGTAGATTTTGGGGAAAGATGATTAACCAATATGAAACATTCTTATGCTGATATGACAGCTTACATGTTTGATGTTGTTCTAGTTTTGTTGTTTTGGGGGGTGAGGGGAAACCCAAATGCAAAACTAAACCCCAAATCCCACCTCTGTTCAAAGTAGTTAAACTGAAACTGTGTGTTGATTAGGTCTGAAGCATACCTGTTATTACTGCCTCTCTATGCCGATATTTTGGGACGAGTTGTTTACATACAACTGAATGTGTAAGTAGTTGCAGATTCAGTTAAGAAGCCGGTAACAAAGTAGTAGTAACAGCAGAGCTAAAGACCTTTCATTATTTCTATTAAAATGTCACTTTTGTTTGTAGAATGAAATGTGTCTTGCCACACAACAGCTTTCGAAGCACCTCCTTGCCTATGAAAAGCAGGTATGTTGCAACATATGACTTCAATTTCTTTTCAGCCTCAGCACTTGCAAAGAAGTCTGTGTAAATAGTGTGGTTTCCAGAAGTGCTTAGGGCATTTGCTTTACTTGGTTTCATGTGAAGGCTGTTATAAAATTACCCAGAATCTTCAAGGGAGTTAGGTCACTTCTGAGAATCTTAAAAAAAAAAAAAAAGTGTAAAATGTGAGTTAATAAATTTATGAAGATGCAAACCGGTTTATTCCTTTTGTATTACTATCACTTTAAAATGAGTATAATAAGCATTATTTACATGTTGTCCAAAATCCATTCATTTAAAACAAGAGGAGCAGGGTAGAAGAACATGTATTAATGAGTTACTGGTTTTCCATTTAGTTTTATCATTTATTGCATTTTGTAGGAGTATTCATTACTTTTGTAGTAAAACACATGTTGTATTTTATACTTACCTTTATTGATTTATGGACCAAATATATGTTTCTATTTTCAGCATTTTGCCTTGGGTAAAGGAGATGAAGAAGTGATATCCACCCTTCATTACTTTTCAAAAGTTGTGGATGAGGTAATTTGAATTGCCAATATTCTGTTTTTACAATATAGAATAATAGTGTGTTTTCTTTTAGTCTTTGTCCTTTTGATTCTGAGCCTTTCCACTGAAGGCTAGATTGTGCCTGGGTTTTATAGAATCATTTAACTGGGGATAAAGGAGTATAATATCAATGTTTCATAATGGTTAGAGCTGCTTCTGTGGCTTCATCCCCTATGCTGTCCTCAGAGCAAAGCTGAACTTTCTAAATAGGGGATTAGCAAGGAGCCTGAAACAGGACATAGCATCTAGGCTGGGGCCATTTTTTATTTAATTCCATTTAAAAATTACATTTACATTTTTAAGCTTTAAACACTGTAGTTTGAGCCAGAACTTGCCAGGGATGGATGTAGGGCAGCTATGAATTACTGAAGTTGCAGTTTAGTTGCTGTGAGATCGTGCAGAATCCAGAGGTGTCTGGGGGAGGCTGCAGAAATGCCTGCTGAAGGCAGGTTAGGTACTACAGCTGTGTGCACTGAACACTTCTACTCCCTGTAGGTTGCTGCTAAGTACTGGGAGTCTTTCTAAATGCCTTTGTTAGATCTGCCCATATAACGTTTCAGTATAATCTTACAATCTAAGTCCTTATTGCTTAAGTATCATTTGTACATCACGCTCTCTGTTGTGAGCAGGGCTGTGCCATCAGAAAAGTGTTGCTGCTCTTTTTAGTCTACTTTGAACTTTTGTTAAGAAGGCAGAGGACTGTATTGAGGTCTGCTGTTTGGGAGAGGAGGGGAGATAGGATTGCGGGGCAACAAATAAGTTAAAAATTTTAGAGCTCATGGATAACTCTAACAATGTAGTGAGAGAAATCCCAAAGGTTAAGTTTTCCCTTAACCTTCTCCCGGTGCATGTGTGCTCTCAGGGGATACTTGAAAGGAGCATTTGTTGTCACAAGTCTTGTACTTGTCTATGTGAACTATGAATAAATCAAAACAAGAACTTTCTCCTTCCCAGGTATGAGAGAGCCATCCCATTTGGGAGCAGAAATCTGAGAGCCTCTCTGTTCAGTTCTGTCAATCACATTTTTCCTCACAAGAACCTGCTCCATTCATCAGCCTCCTTTTCTGTGTGTTAGCTAATGCCTGTACCTGTTTCTCAGTTCTATAGGCATTGAATTGTCCTCTTTTAGTTTTGTATCGTCTGATGGCAAATACTGACTTCATCCTTACCTGCGTAACCCCACCTACTCCAGGATATCATGAGCAGATGGGCAGAATATTGTGTCAGCGTGTGGTGCACACTGAGTTTGTAGTATCAGGCGCTCTAGCAGTGTGATTAATAGTAGTCCTACCTGAACCCATCCAGTATTCTTAGCATGCCACTGCTGACATGAGAACCTTGTCTTCAACCTAAACGGTGTCACACAAGTGCTTTGAAATACGTCTCGATGTCCTGAATTCTAGAGAAACACTTAAAAAAACAGAAACAGGAAACTGCTCTGAAGGTAAAATATGTGACTGGGACCTTTCATTGTGGTTGCCCCCTGTTGTGATTGTGTCCCCGGTAGCCCTCATGAATGGAAAGAGACTCTAGTCATGGCAGCGGGACCGTAACTCTATGGTGTAGGGACTAACAAAAACTGGTTAATAAAGGCTAATTACAGATTACATCCTGTTGGGTTAAGCATTAGAATTAAAGGTCGAGTGAAATGCCCTAACACAGTATGTGGGAACTGAAAAGTTCTTGGATCCTTGGAAAACACCAGGCAGGAATTAAGCATTTAGGGGAAAAAATCCCCATCTGTCTCAGGTATTTTGAGAGTATTTTAAGCACTGAAGTACATTGAAGTGCATTATATACTTTTTTTGTCTGCTGGGCACAAATGGCAGGCTGTAGACTGCTGTTATCTTATTTTATTTTTTAAATTTACACTGTGTCTTCGAGCATTCCTCTGTTCTCTGTTTCAGCTCAATATTCTTCATTCTGAACTGGCAAAACAGCTTGCAGATACAATGGTTCTCCCAATAATACAATTTCGGGAAAAGGATCTCACAGGTAAATTTTATTTTAAGTTTTAATTTTCCTCATGTGTTCCTTTTTATTTCATAACAAACTGAGACATAATGCCATGTAATAATTTGTTCTTTGATTGACCACAAAGGTGTTTGTGTTATTTTTTGTTTTCTGCTACAGAATTTCATTGACAGGTGCATGCTTTTACTCAGAGATAAGCAGTGCAAGTTCACCACATGACATTTTATGCACCATATAGTGCAAATTTGAAAATACACAGCTTTGTTCTATGCTGGGTCACTCTGCTTTTACACTGGTGTGATTTCACTGGAGTCATTGATGTTATAATTGCCTAAAGAAGGGAAATTTAGCAGTGAATCTGGCTTGCAAACAGTATTTATTCCACTTCAGAAGTTTGGGGTTGTTTGAAAAGCACAAGCAAGAATTTTTTTTAACTTCAGAGTATAGTGTATTCCCTCCTTTCTAAGGAACATGTCCTCTTTAAATCCTTGCCATCCAAGGGTAGTTCCAAGTAACCTGATTGCACAAACTTGGAAATGCATTACTTAAACAGCAAAGCAATAATGCAAACCTTTGGTGGGATTTCAAAAGAAGCAAGTGCATATTCAAGGTCAAGGACACTCTAACCTACTCATGCAACAGAAACATGAGTTTTTACTGCAGTGTTTTCTTGTTTTGTTTTGTTTTGTTTTAAAAAAAAGCCCGCTTCTCATCTCACTGATCTCAGTCCTGTTATGTACTTTCTAAAGACATCATTTTGATGGGAGACAAAACAACTATAGCAAAATAATGACTGGTTTAGGTTCCTTATATCATAGCATCTCATTTGAAATTGTGAAGACATCAAGGTGTCTATATTAATGAATATCTTGTCTATCATATAATGTCAAATATAAAGCAGGATTTGGATGGTAAGATCTTGGTTCTGTAAACACTTTCCCACCTCTTTAATGTGGCTTCACTGATAACAGTGATTCATTCTGCTCCCATCTTTATGGATTCTGCCCCCTGGTTCATAGAAGACATAAAAAGAAAATGCGGGTGAAACCTGCAACCAAAGCCTCAGCTGCTTCATGACAAAAAATGAAAGTCTCTTCAGCTTCCCTGGATGTCAAAATTTTTTTTGTTCCATCCATCACAACCTTCATTTTTCCCTGACACAGTCTGTAGAACAGCATTTTTAGTAGAGCCCTGGCCATATTGAAGTTTCATCGTAGGATTAAACAAGGAAGCAAGGAAGATCAACTGTGTACTTGTTTTTACTTTTGATCTTCTTATGTCTAAGTATTGAATACTGTAGAAACCTCTAGGTACAAGTTAGTCACACCTGGGAAGAATTTCTGTCTTTCTGCATCAGAATCATGAGGAAGTGTTCTGGGGAGAAAAAGGTGGCGTGAAGTTGATTGAGTAGGTTGTTACAAATAGAGGCCATGATGACATCCTACAGCTTCCCGTTATTCTTTTCATGGTTGTATAATGTCTGTTCTTGTGAATGTGCTTTCTTTGTCGCTCTTTGAGCAGGGTTTTGCCAGTTGCAGCATACATTGATGTCGACACTGAGATTAGCTTTGTGCGCAATGCTTGTGAAGGTTGAGTCGCCTGTTTAGTTGCTTTTCATTCTACCTGTACCAGGAACTTGTGGCCAGTGTTTGTTATGTCAGCATTGTAGCCACCAGTCAGATGTGTTAGATACGTATTTCTTTTCACAGAGAAACTTAACAAAAAATGTTCCATGTTGATGAAGATTCATATACAGGAAAGGGGGTTAGTTCATTTCTCTCTGGGATTTTGATTTCTTGGTATCACATAAGCATTGTCAGGAAGTTGTTCAGAACTGCTGATCTTTTATGATGGTGGTGGGCCTTTTGTCATAACAGGCATACTGAAATGGTGCTTCTTTGTATAAACTACACTGGCAGGTAAGGAATCTTTTTCATAGTGATAACTTGATCAAGTAAACTCACTTGACTCTTAATTTGCTATCTACTGGTTCGTTTCTCTAGCAGCTGATCTGGTTTATCATTTTCAAGACAGGCACAGCTTATACATCTGTGCTGTGAAAGGACTGGAATGACTTAGGCATTAAATATACCATAAATGGTCTGAGTTGAACAAAGTGTTTACAGCTGGTTTTACTTTCAATATTTGATTTCTTTTTTCCAGAAGTAAGCACGTTGAAGGATCTTTTTGGCCTTGCTAGCAATGGTATGTTTCCCTCTTTTGTTCCTTTCTAATGGTGCACACCTGTTGTATCACAGAAGACATTTTTAATCTACGCACACACACATCACATTTCTAAAAAAATAATATTCCTTGTCTACAGAACATGACGTGTCCATGGCAAAGTATAGCAGGTTACCGAAAAGGAAAGAAAATGAAAAGGTAATGAACATGAAAGGGAAAAGGAAAAGTTTTCATCAGCTGTTCTGTCTGCATCATTGTTCACTTACGAACTTTGGAGAGTTCATCAGTTAAATTCACAGTAGCTCAAGAGTACTTGTGATTTCGTTTCCAAGCAGACACCAAGCTTTTAAACATCAATTCAGCAAAGTTACACCTGTTTTCTCCAAGTTAGACAAATGATCAAGTATTGTGCTTAACTAGAGCCCTTCAGGTCTGGGGAAGCTCTTCAGACAGAGGCAATCCAAATGGCTATAAATAGATTTGTAAAGGCCTACTGTTGTACAGCTGATGTGATGATGCTGTATCGCTGGGTACTATTCATTGTGAACTGTCATGAAGCCTTGTGTCTGCTGTTTATAAAGCATTCCACTTTTTCGCATCTACCTTCCTGCTAAATTTCTCTTACAGTACACATAACTCTGTTGGTGGGATTGTTTTACGTTTCTTCTTCTTTGTCCACTAGACCACTGTTCCAAAATATATCCCTGTAAGCCAAAAAGTGTGTGATTGGATCTATCCTAAGAGTGCATCAGTTCTACAGGATGGTGCTTTAAAGGAAATGCATTCCAGAAGAGAATGTGATATAGCTTATTGTGAATTATCCATCTCTGAATTCTACAGTTGCAGGCCTGTGTTGTGATCTCAGCTGCAAATAAATTTTTTGCACTGAGATCACATCCAGAATTTTAGTTGTGGTAGTTACATAGCTTATAGTCACAGAAGCTCCCCAAATGCTTAAGTATCTTGCCAGAGAAGGGCTTGAAGTACTTGTTTTGGGTTTTGGACTTGCTTTCTTAGTTTCTCATCCCTCATTTTAATGTGGAGAAGTTCTGTAATGAGAGTTATTTAAAGATAACCTGAAAATAATCAGTAAATATACCCGTATGCACAGTAACACTTTGTCAACTTCTTTATCAATTTTTATTCAGCTTAAGGCAGAAGTGGCAAAAGAAGTGGCAAATGCAAGAAGAAAGCAGCACCTTTCATCTCTGCAGTATTACTGTGCCCTGAATGCTCTGCAGTACAGGAAGAGAGTGGCAATGATGGAACCTATGCTAGGATATACACGAGGACAGGTATGGACAGTAAAGCGTCTATATCACTTAGACATGTCCCTGGGAAAAGTAAAACATTGTAGCTCTGGATTTTATTTTTTTTTGAGAACTGACAAATGATAACAGGGCAGGGGGAGCAACTTTTGTTCAGCTTGCCTAGATTCTAACAACTGGTTTTGTTTGTGGCATAGTTGAATGTTCAGATATTCAGGAAAGACACCACTTTAAAAAAAAAAATCCAATACACTTATATGCAAAATCATCCTGGTGTTAATTTTTTCATGGCTAAGCTATCAGTGCAGGAGCATTTACTTCCACTGTTTACTCTGTCTGCACAAGCTCTCCTATGTAGCAATTGCCTTGCTGGCACATTATGTTCAGCATACTGATGAGGAGTGTACATGATTGGGAACAGAGCATGCACTGGAGAACTGGAAGGACAGAACAATAGAGTGGATTGAGCATAAGGCTGGCAAGTGCTCCTTCTAATCTTTATTCTGCTAGCAATTTGATAGAGCATTTCTCAAATCTGTAAAATGCGGTAGTAATACTGATAATCTGACTCTCCAGGTTGTCAGGAGGATCAACAAACTAGTATTTTCACAGCACTTGATTCTCATTATCACCCATTTTAAGAGTCTGTTGTGCTTTGACATTTATCAAAGAAAGCATTGGAAAAATGAGAATTGGGCTGTGAAAACAGAAAAAATGGATGCAATGGTCTGTTTGAGATTGTAGTGTGGGTCATCATCTCCATTGTCCTGTGTCTTTTGCAGATCATGTGCCCTATATAAAATAGGTAATAAATGAGAATTCAGTCAGCTTCCCCACCACGAGAGTACACGCTGCTTCTCTGCTGTAATTATACTAAGTGAAAGAATCGCATTGGTTTCCTTTACTGGAAGCCAAACAGAACTTTCTTTCCCTGTATTTTATCTGGCAAAACTGCCACATCTCAGTGCTTTATACCGGAAGGTCTTGGGTGGTCATGGGAATGACTGAGTAGCCAGAAGCCAGTTGATACTGATGCTTAAATACTGTGAACCACACTTTAGCCTAATTATTTATCTTCTTTATTAGTTTCTCAAAATATGTGTTACATATTTCACGTTTCCAGTGAATAAGCAGGTCATAAGGAATTTCTGGAAGAAGCAGTGGCTAGTACAGGGTTTATTTGACTGAAAACTGACATCAACATCTAAGCTAGGCGTGTCAGTCTATCATCAGTGGAATTTAGAGCTCTTCCCTCCTGAAGTAGGCATCTGAAATAGAGTAGGTGAATCATTCTTTAAGAGAGCGTGCTTTCTGTCCTTTGTCTGTAAAGGGAATCTGTGGTCATAACAAGCTTGCAGAAATCAGAGTTACAGGTAAGAGGAATTGCACGTCCCAAGGTTAGGGAAAAGGAGTGAAATCACAAGTAAAATTGGATGAAATAGCTAATAAATTGCTTAACAGCGAAGAATTTCTTTTACATCTCTTTCTGGAATAGTTGAGTTAATTTTTTTTTTTTTTTTTTTTTAAAGCTAATTAATTGCACAGACACGCTGGCCATGTCTATGTTTCACACAGTTGCCAGTAGGTCTTAATGATGACTCTGTGCCCCACAGCGGGTAATCCAAGGTCAAATCTACACTGAGTGCTTTGCTGCTGTTGCATGCCTGCTAAGCCATACCAGCTAAGTGAATTCATCTTCTGTCACAAAATGTGCACTTTGGCCTTAGTAGCTTTTTTTAGCTCCTTCAGTAAAACAAAATCCATGGTAAATCTGTAGTTGATATAACTGATTGCCCTGGAGGCTTCTGCTCTGCTAGCACAGCTACCCTTCATCACTTTCCTGACCGACTTTACTATAGCATTTTAAAAATTTCCAGGTTGGAGTTGGTAGTCCAAGTTGGACTACAAAATCTAATGGCTGCTTTGTGTCCTGTTCCTTTTGATATGGTAGTATTGCATGCGGTGGCTCATAACTCCACTAGACCCAATTCTGTACAGGGCTAGTATGGGAGAAGGCTACCTGTTCCCTTATTTCTGTCATTTAGCAAATTCATTGGAAACATACCTGTCAGCAGCCGATGGCTTATGTGTGTATGAAAGGGTGGAAAGTTGCAAAAGTGAGACATACAAAGAAAGGCAACGCAGCTGTTTTGACCATGTGTTTGATCGCCAGCCAAAAGTATCAGTCATAATGGGATCGCTGTTAACACAGTCCCCACAATCTGTTATTTGTCTGCCAAAGCCAAGATAACTTCTAGTGTCCGTTTTTTTTTATTTTTCAGATCAACTTTTTTAAGAAAGGAGCAGAGATGTTTTCCAAAAGAATGGACGGCTTTTTGTCATCTGTTTCAGACATGGTCCAAAGGTAATGCAATACTTTTTTGTTTCCTTTTGTCGTTCCATTGAATTCTGAGCAATAGCGCTCTAACCTTCAGGATGTAGCAGAAAGTGCCTCTGTTTCTTTCTTACGAGATTCCTTCCATGCTCACGTTGCGTTGTTGGGCATATTTTGTGAAAGGAGATATGTTTGTACATGTAAAGGAAAATGCTTCGGTGCACTGCAGAGAGTATTTTTACAGTATAGTCAGGAACTATATACTGTAAAATGTTCACCTGCTTTCTTACATCCTCGTGTCTCTCCATGGACACAAAAGCATGGAATTTGGGCTTGAAGTGGGTTAACAGAATTAATATAATAGAGCTAAAGTGCCTTCTGAATTAGAGGTATTTATACTTACTGGGTCTTCTGTAATAATACTGTAACAATAATCCATTAACCTCTCAAATAAAGATTTAGGGCCTATAGTGTTTGGTGTTGTAGCTACGTAAGGCAAACAAAACTCCTCGCCCTAGAGAACATTCATTGCATCCAGTATAGGCTGTTACCAGTCCACTGAGTTCAACCTGCTTTGGCTAAGTCCTTATTTCAATAAACTGCCCTACTTTTGAATTCCTAATTTTGTGTCCTTTTTTTCTTAATCCTCCCCCCGTCCTCTACTTGTAGTGCAGATTGACATTTTCTTTATAATTAAGTCTCTGTAAATGTAAACTTTTCATTTAAAATGTAATCATATTAGAACATTAATAATTTATTTTAAATCAGCTGGAACGCTAGACTGAGTCCTTCACTTCATTGCTTCATACCTTTCATATCAGACTATAGCCAAATCATTACTTATTCTGACTCTGGTGGCGTTTTAAGTAATGCATACTTGTTAATTTGAGAACAGTGACATAAGTAATCGCCCTGTATAGTAGATTCTTTCACTAGATGATTCTTTACTTCCTGTACCCTTACACTTATTTATATATGTTTTCACAGTCACTTCTGAAATAAATCTGTCTACAGTCTACACAGCATTTGTACAGGCTGGAGGACAGATTTTAAACTCCTTTGAATTACTGCACTTTATTTAGTAAGGCTAGAGCATCTCGCTTGTGTCTTATAGGCGCAACGAGGATCCTGCCACTGGATCCTCACTGTAGAATAAGCCCTTGTTTTCCAAAGTCTGATGGATCTGAATTCTGGATAGTACACAGTAGTAAATGGAAGCATAAATAGGCTACTCAGTTGTTTTGCTGAGTCTGTTTTTTGTGTTTTAAGTCTGTCACACAGCAAAGCTTGAAAGTACAACTCAAATGTAACTAATACAGGAAAAACCAAACGAGACGCTTGCAAAATCCTGACTGACACTGTGCAGCTTAGCAATCACTGACACAGGACATGGTTTCATGACTAAAGATTATACAGCCACTGAAAACCATGCTGCCCGCTCCTGTCCTCCTTTAGTGCTGCGGATCACAAGGCCTCAGTGAGTCAGACCTGCTTGCTAATCAAGCTAAAAAGCTTTTTATTTGTCTGATTTTGTTTTCTTGGAACAACAAGCCATTGAGACCCATTGTGCAGCTACAGAATTTCAGCAGTGATGTAGTCTTGCATCTGTTTAATCTGCCTGTGAAACTGAGTCTTCATATTTAAAAGTATTTTCATTTCTACAGTGAATATTGCTAACAGTGTAAAAACTCAGAAGACAGATCACTAAAATATTCTCAGTAACCAATTGGTCTAATTGCCACAAATGCATATAACTTCAGAATTGTCAGCTTTTCTCTCCTTTCTACCTTGGAGATAGGAGAAACGCACCTTAGGAAGAGGAATCCAGTCTCAGGAACCTTGAAGATGCCAGGGCAGTTTTGTTGGAAGCAATTTGTGGTACAACAAAAATGACTGATCAAAAGGTTCATTGAAGTAGCATTTATGTAAAAACTGATAGCACTGTTCCATTTCATTTCAAAAGGGAATTTAAATAGTTCTTATTCTGACATTTAATGATAATGTTGAAAGGCATTAGGTTGCAAAATATGGTCTAATTTAATTCAGATCTGATGATATTATTCAGCCTTTATAACTCAGCCTCTCATATGACTTGGCTAGGTGGTAAGATGCACACAGCTGGTCTCATTTTGGAGGTAATGTGGGAGCTTAGGAAGTCTCAGCCTTCTAAAGATGCAGAAAAGCTGGAAATAAGCTAATATGAAACAGACTAACACCATGATGCAAGAGTGACTCTTCTTCTGGCAAGTCAGATACTGGTTAGTGCTAACTTAAATGCAGCACTGTGTTTCTAGATTACTTCAACAGTTACAGGATATCACCAACTTCTACAAAAGACTGGGGAGGGGAATGGGGGAAGAATTATACGTACTTGCCTTGTACTTTTCCACGGGCTTTTTGCTGCTGTCAGAGGCAGGAGAGTGGACTACATGGATCTCTGGTCCTGCTGTGTACAGCCTGTGTTATGTACTCACGTTCTTCAGAAGGTTTAACCACTTGGGCAGGAAGTAGAGAAAACATTGCTTGTTGCATAGGTGCAGGTATTAATGACTTTCTAAGGTATGCAATGACAAGTATTCTTATGTTCCCACCCCATGAGTTTTCCTAGTAGCCAGGATACAGTTAATAACTCCTCAAGTTTGGAGAAATTAATAAAGAAATCAAATATTTGCTAGTATTATTTCTCTGAAAGCCTAAGAGCAGCTGCTGCAGTATGGACCTCGAGAGGTCATCTAGTCCACTGTCCTGCTGAGAGCAGGGTCCGTTAGAGCAGAGTGCTTAGCACTGTGTCCAGGCAAATTTTGAGCATCTCTCTCATGTCGCACATGGCACACACAGTATCTGGTTACAGCTTGTGTCCATTGTCTCTCATCCTAGCACTGTGCACCTCCAGGAAGAGTCCAGCTCCATCTGCTGTGTACCCTCCCACCAGGTAGTTAAGCTAGCAGCAAGATCCCCCCCCATAACTTCATTTCATGAGGCTGAAAAGCAATTCTTACAGCTTCTTCTCATGTCACATGTTCTGGCCCCCTAGCCATCTTGATGGCTCTTCACTTGTCTTTGTATCTGTCTTTCATGTGCTGAGGCACCAAAACTAGACACAGTACTCCAGTTGGAGTCTCACAAGTGCTGAACAGGCAGGAATAATTACTTCCTTTGACCTGCTGGCTCATGCAGCCCAGGATGTGACTGCGCTTTTTTTGCCACAAGGGCATGGTGCTGGCTCACTTTCAGACTGTCCTCTAGGACTCCAAGGTCCTTTGCTGAAAGTTGCTTTCTATCCAGTTGCTTCCCATTCTTTACAGTTCCATGGAGTTACTCCATTCGAGGCAGGACTTTGTCTTTGCACAACTTCATGAAGTTCCTGTCTGCCCATTTCTGCAGCCTGTCAAGGTCCCTCTGAACAGCAACCCTCCACTCTCTACCATATCTGTCAATCAGTCTTCGCAATTTAGTGTCATCTGCTCCTATGGGTTGTCCAGCTTTTATTAAACACTGTAAACTTTTAAGCCTCAGTACTGACCCATGAGGAATGCCACTAATAGCTGGGTACTGATTGGCCTTTGTCTCACTGATTACAACCCTTTGAGCTCAGTAGTCCAGCCATGGTTTCTACCTATCTTGTAGTCAACTTCTGCAGTTCATATTTCACCAATTTGGCTATAAGGATACTGTGGGAGAACACATGAAAGGTCTTGCTGAAGTCAAGTGAAACAGCATCCATGGCTCTTTGTCCACCTACCAGGTTAGTCACTGCATCGCAGAAGGCAATCAGGATGGTCAGGTGTGATTTGCCCTCAGTAAATCTGTGCTGGCTGTTCCCAGTTGCCGCCTTGTCTTTCATGTGTTTGGAAATGGCTGGAGAATTTGCTCTGTAATTTTCCAAGGGACTGAGGTATGGCTGACTGGCTTGTAGTTCCCTGGATTGTTTCCCTTGCCTGTCTCAAAGGCAGGTGTGACATTTGCCTCGTTTTCAGTCATTTGGAACCTTCCCTGAGTGAACTTTTGAAGAGATCGAGACCAGCCTTGCAGAGACATTAGCCAGCTCCCTCAGGACCTCAGTTTACAGACACGTAGCTGGACCTCAGGTTCACAGAAGGGCAGTGCAAACAGATGGACTAAAACCATTTTCTACTTCCTTGTCCATAGATACACCAAGTACTGCTTGCAGCTGACATGGAGACCTAAGCCCTTTTATGTACAGTTTATCTAATAGGTTTTGTTTTTAATTATTGTATTATGTCACATTTTCAAAATGGCAGGCCTTTGGTTCTTTCGTTGCTGATGGAAACAAGGCAGGTTTGTTGGTGTGATGGGACTGTCAAGTGGTCTGTAGGAACCTCTGAAAATTAAGTGTCTCCCAATGATTGTCTGACAGAAGAGCTGAAAAAAAAATGAAGGTATTTCACTGGCATATGAACTTACTGTTGAAAATCTGTGATGAGTTAGTAAGTGGTCTCATGGCAGGAATTCCTGCATGTTACACAGTTGCAGGAATTAGACAAAATTCTGTGAAAGCCAAGAGATACTGTAGTAAAGCCTACTTTGAACTGTGCCACTATACAAGACCAACATCTGTGTATGTTCAGCAGTATAAATTCATACAAGCATTGCTTTTAGAAGCTGTATCAAAAAATAAATGTAACCCTTCACTCTCAACACTTAAGCATTTCTTGTGTGCTCATTTCAGTCTTACAAAACAGTCTCATAATTCTGGTCCTTCTCTCTCTCTACTGTTTGGGGAAAGAAGATAACTACATTTAGTACAAATTGCAAAAAAGAAAGCATAGCTACTGTATGAGACATTGAGAGTAACATCTTCAAACGGGGCTTTCAAAATAAAGAGCAAGGGGAAATCCTGACTATGCTTTTGCTGCCAGCCTGCCAAAGATAGCCATATTTTCCTTCAACCATTGCTAATACCTTCAGAACATATGTACCTTGTCTCTTTAGGCTCAAATGACATTTTCTGGGAGTAGTTGTCTGTTGTAGGCCTCTTTCTTCCATTCTTTCCTAACTGCAGTGATTTATCTAGTCCTTAGAGAAAGCCTTGGATAAGTAGTCTTACATTATATTTCCTATAAAGTCTCTTGTAAAAATAAACTTTATTTTGCAGTACTCTCCAATATAATCTCAACTGGTATTTTTGTTCATTTTGGCTTACAGATGTTAGCTATATCCTGGTATAAATTGACTAATGATGGCTTTGGGTTTCTTATAATGTTTTTTTTTTCAGCATACAGGGAGAGCTGGATGCTGAAGCTGAAAAAATGAGGGTATCCCAGCAGGACTTAATTGCAGTTAATGAATCTGTTTACACCCCAGATTCTGATGTAACTTCACCTGCTATCAATAGAAATCTCATCCAGAAGGCTGGCTACCTTAATCTTAGAAAGTAAGAAGACACTTGCTACCTGCTGGTTTATTTAGTTGCTGACTAGTTGCTACTTTTTTTTTTTTACACTCCTCAGGTAATGATGTTTGAGGCTGCTGAATCACTGTGGTAGCTGTACTGCAGTATTCAGCTCCTAAGTATCTCTCTCTTTGTCATCTTTGGAAATGTGTTTTAGAAGTGTAAACCAAATTAGAGGCATTTGAGACTGTTTTCCTGAAAACAGAAGTTGACTTCTGGTTGAATTCATGTACGGGGATGATTTCCGGCATTCAAGTTGCGAAAAATCAGAAACTGATGGGGCTGGGTTCAAATTGTTCCCAGTTCTTAGGGCTAAAGAAAACAGTGTTTACAAAAATAAACAGCTATATTTTGTAGTTAATACATGTTTTCATAAATGACTTCCTTCACATAAATAAAAGCTTTATGGACAATGCAAGTGCATAATTTTGAACGTATACCATATGTAGCTACCTCTGCAGATTTTCCAAATAAAATCTTCCATCAACTTCCGTAGGAGCTGTGTATATTGGTTGCATATAGTAACCCTGTTTATGTGATTGATTAAATATCAGTTTATTTCTATTTGACCAGTAATTTTTTTTGGTGAGTGGACATTTATTAATTTTGCGTAGCATTCTAAGAGCTGGATTACAATGTAATAGGACTCCATGGATAGGGAGAAGATGGACTCTGAGATACTACTTGCAGAGGATACTTTTTAAAATGATGATTCTTTGTGCTGAAATTGCTCATGCTGTTCTTCAGCTTGAAAAAACTTTTTTTAATCCAGTTTAATACTATTTCATGTCAGTTACTCAGTAATTCTTTTATTCCTTAATTAGGAGATACTGCAGAGAATGTTTTTAACTTGGGATGTTTGGAATTAGTTTAATTCTTCAGCTTTCATTAAGGATTAGGCTCTACTAGGAATAGGTGCTGCTTTTACTTCTTAGCAGAGACTCGCCATAAAAAAAAATCCAGGGTTGAACATAAAGCTCAGATTAGCATCAGGATATGTTTGCAGTTTCATATGTTTGGAGTCATTCCTAAATAGTAATGAGTCTTTATCACTGCATCTTCTCTTTAGTAAAACAGGTCTGGTGACTACAACTTGGGAAAGACTGTACTTCTTCACTCAAGGTGGCAACTTGATGTGTCAGCCCAGGGGAGCAGTAGCTGGAGGATTGATTCAGGACCTGGACAACTGCTCTGTTATGGCTGTAGACTGCGAAGACAGAAGATACTGCTTTCAGATCACTACTCCTACAGGCAAAGCGTACGAGACAGGTTTTATTTGAGGACAGCCAGTCACACCTACCTGTTCAGATGCTGTTTCATGTAAAACATGCTTGCTATAATAGTAAGCCTTTCTGGGTTTCCAGGAGGGTGTTTCCGAATTAAAAGCCTGTTCCTTCCCATCCTCCCACAACTGCCTGAATAGCACATGTGGTACCCTTTAGCTGCAGCATATTTGTGATTTTCATTCCTTTCATGGTTAATAGATACGAAGCTTGGTGAGGTTACTATGACCTGAAGTCAAACAGTCCTGGTGTCCTCTGTTAGCACTGATACACTATGTTTATATTTTAGGGGTATAACCCTTCAAGCAGAAAGCAAGAAAGAATATGAGGAGGTAAAAATATTTTCTTAATGTTGTTATTCTTGTATACAAGTGAGCTCGAAAAGTTCAATTTCATTTTTCCTTTCCAGTGGATATGTGCCATCAACAACATCTCCAGACAGATCTATCTGACTGACAATCCAGAGGTGGGAGCTTGTTTCTATCTTCAGTCCGTTCCTTCCAACTTGCTTTCCCATTGTTCTTTACGTGGCAATGTAAAGCACGTGTGTAAAAGAGCTATTCTGTCTTGTTTTCATAGGCAGCTGCAATCAAGTTAAATCAGACAGCCCTACAAGCAGTGACTCCCATTACCAGCTTGGGAAAAAAAACAGCAGTTCACCACCCCAGGTAACATTCTCACTTGCTCGGACTAGAGACTGTGCCCAGTCATGCTTTTTACATGGCAACAGTCACCCGGCAGTAAGCCCTGTCTAGGCCCTGGCTTTACAAGCCTGTGTGTTCCAGCAAATTCCTCTACTTCTGATATTTCCTACTGAAAACCATAAGAGATGCTGAGTGTTGAGGGTGATGCTTATTGCTACACATCACAGCTTTGAAGCTCCTTGATTGCCATTGGGATTTTGCTGTTTCTTCAGAAACAAATATAATGCTTTATTTCTTAAGTGCTTTGCTGTAATGGAATGACTTATAATGTGGAAAACAGAGCAGAGTCCCCAATATACATTGAAATAAGTATATTCTTATGTATTACCTCAAGCAGTTCCTGTCAGTCTGTCACAGGAATATGCCTTACACTGCTGTCAGAATAATTACTGTTGTTCTCTTGTGCTCATTCAGGTCAATCAATAAAGCTCCCCTCCTTCAAAAAATGTTAATAATGTTCTAGGATATGCTTATATTCAAGTGGATATTTTATGTATCGTTTCTTTGTGTCCACATGATCCTAGCATCGTGCTCAGTGGGAATCCCTCAGACTTCATCATCAGAGTTGGCTTTCAAGCCCAGTGCTGGACTGAAATCCTGCTTTCAGCAGCAGTGTGATAAAATAGGGCAAGTTTGTGTCACACTGACTTCAACATGAAAACACTTCTGTGCAATTTTTGTCAGAAAACTGTAAATTCTTACCTAGATATTTACTTCTAGAAATTCAAACCTTTTCCAGATCTTCTGCCTCTCAGGCCAGTGCCCTTACTACGATTTATGGTTTGCTTTATTATGACTGCTTACAGATTCCAAGGATTCCCTATAGTCATGGGGAGTGCCAGTCAATTTCTTTCTAATTTTATCCACAATGCAGCTGTTTCACTTTGATTACAGATTTATAAATAGAAAAATATTGCCATCTATTTCACTAGGCAAAGGAAATAGCTCATTCATTGACAACAAATCTCCCAAGACACTTTTACAACTGTATGCAACCAGAAAACTTCCTAGAAATAGGATGCTGCTAGTAAACTCAGCGTACTGTACGTAGTGATATGCATAGTTATGACTCTTGTAGCTGTGGGAAACTTAGAATTTTGTTCTCTTTGAGAAAAGATGCAGGAAGAAATGTGACCCAGTGTATAATGCTTCTTCTTAACTATCACATTGTAACAAGCCTGTGGCCAAGTAAGATCTTACAAAAATGTCAGGATTGCCATTTACACCGGTAGACACAAGTCCGAGTCTCAGTTGTTTGAGCTGGTAACGTGGCTCTAAATACAGCTGCTAGAGGGGAGGGAGGCAAACAGCAACCCATGGCTGAAAGTCAGCCCACACTCAGAGTTGAGCTGTGTTCAGATTTAATATACTAGCATTTACTTTTTTCCTAAATAATTTTAGGTACAACCCCCCCCCCCAAAAAAAAAAAACAGAGATTTTATTGGAGTCCTCGGTAACAGGTAAAGAGGAAGATACTCTTACTATGTTTAAGTATAGTGGTTCAGTCCCGCTTTGGATTTTTGAATGATTTGTCTCCCTTCCAAAGCAAAGATAGAGCGTCATTGATTGACTGAAACATATTATTATTTTTTTTCCATTTTCACTTTAGCCAGAATGTAAAGAATACGGAAAATGATAAAATAATTCCCAGTGAATCAGCTGGCGTTCAAGACTCCACACAACTCATTACTCCTGGAACACCGATTCAATTTGATATCGTACTGCCTGCCACAGAATTCCTGGACCAGAACCGAGGTGGCAGGTATGGCCAGAGACAGTGATCAATCACTGTAACAGGGAGAAAGCGGGGTATTGCAGCATGTGTGTGTGGTGACCAGAATCTGTAATTAGAGTTTTTACTCTTATTTCATAGGCGTGCAAACCCATTTGGGGAGTCTGAAGACAGCAGCAAAGATGGGGAGGAAGGTCAGTGCATCATTTTTCCAGATAAAATTAGCCGTAATGTTAGGCCTAATTCAGCTGTCAGCTATCCAGTGTCTCTTAATGAAAGCACCTGACACCATGGAGCAGCAGTAACAGATCCATCGTACACTTGAAGGTAGTTACCTTTCAGAAGCCAGTCTTTTAAACATCGCTACCTGTGAAAACAAACACCTTTTTCCTTCACAGTCCAAGCTGTATTCCAGATTAGGTTTATTTCAAATGTTTAAAGGAAAAAAAATTTGGTTTGCTTGAGTTTTGTCTTTCATGATTTTTTTTTTATTTTGTTTTAAAAAAGTAGCTGTTGACATCTTTAGAAAGGGTTTGGTGGGACTGTATTATAATTCTGCTCAAGTTTGAGGCTCCTTAGTAGCTATTTCTTACCCACGTGTACTCTGAAATCCCCAATCTAAATCTGGCGGAGGCCCAGCATATAGCCAGGAGCAGCAACACATCTCTTTCAGCTAAGGGAGATTTTGTTACTGCTGCCCACGTTCCCTCCTCCCAGTGACATGCCAGTAAAAGTCAGCAGTTCTGACCTTCCTCTGCCAGCACATGCAGGGCTCAGACCCTGGCTGTTTTCCTCTTCCTCTATGCCAGTCAGAACCGCTGTCTGGAACCCACAGCCCCTGTCAGAAAACTACTCACAGAACCAGACCAGAACTGACCGATTTGAACACTCACTTGCATGGGCTGTCCCGCTGTGAGGCAGGATGGGTGCCGGCTGCCTGACAGCAGAGTAGCTGTGACAAGCAGGCACCTTGGCACTGGCAGCAGCAGGACTCTGCTCCGCTGCAGCACGTAGAAGAGAGAACAGCGTTGAGGTGCCTGCCCTGTGTCTCATACTGCACAAGTGGGTCTGCGTAGCTCAGCTCAAGCTGATGCTTAAGAATCTTTGTGGTGTCTTGTGCAATGTAAACACAGCTGTTGTAGCCTTTGAACAGTCACGCTCAGCTGGACTCAGCCCGCTGTACCTTGCTCACCACCAGCCATAAAGGGAGCCTGATCAAACGATGGCTTTGTTGCATTAACGGCTACTTAGCTGTAAATAGGAGTCTTATGGTGATGGCCAGTGGGCAAGGAAGGATTTAATGAAAACCTGATTGGACCCAGCTGCATGGAAGGTCAGAAGGACACAGAAGCAAGCAAAGAATGTACAAGGTTTAAAGATAAGAGTTAACTTGATGGAAGCCTAGGCTTGTGCACAATCGCAAATTTATCACAGTTTATGTGCACAGTTTACGTGCACCTGATAACAAGATTGGCAAGTGAATTGTACTAGCTAATCAAATAAAGCATGAAGGAGCAGTTACACTTTTACAGCTTCCAAGCAACTGTGATTTTTTTTTTTTTTAAATCTCCCCCATTTGCTGCCAGTTCAAGCACTGTTTAAAACTGGGTCAGAGCACTGCCTGGCTCATAGCAGGAAGTCACCACTCACAACAGCCACCACCCACAGGTTTACTGTTGAATTGCCAAAGTGAAAAAAATAATTTCGTTGATGACTTCAGCTTCCGATAATTGAAGTAGCACAGCGAAGGAAGTCATGCCTTTTATCTTCCAGATTCACTCTTGCAGCAGATGTTCGTAGTTCGGTTTTTAGGATCTATGGCCGTTCAGTCAGATGACACAAGTGAGGTGATTTATGAAGCTATGAGACAAGTGTTAGCTGCTCGTGCCATTCACAACATATTCCGTATGACGGAATCCCATCTCATGGTCACCAGCAAGAACTTGAGGTACTGTAAAACTTTCAACTTGTCAACATTCTGTTCTCTTCATACAACTTGTGATTAGTAAAGTATTTTTGGTTTTGTTTTTCCAAGAAATACACCCTTTGAGGGAGTGAGATCCTGAGATTCACTTTTTACTTAGTAAAGATGTCTCTTTTCTTACTCTGTAGTGTCTAGAAATCATCCTCCTGACTAAGTTGTAAGAACATTCTACCAAAATTTAGGGAATGCAGTGGCGCTATGAGGCCTCGCAAAGATATAGAAAAAGATGCTAAAAAATGCAGTGGAAGATTCTCCTTCTTTACATGTAGTAACAGGAGGAGAGCCATCGCTGTCCTGTTGTCACTGTTCTCACTGTAGAATACGTTGATGCAAGACATGCACTCCAGCTGGAGTGCACTTATGTCCATATGTGTGTTAGTGTCTTAGCCCATACGTGCAGGATGGTTACCACATCATGATTCAGAAAGACACCATGACCTGTATGTGTCAAGCTGCTGCGAGTCAGGGTCTAGAGCTGAACCTTACCATTGACCGACTTGAAATCAGAGATAAAGCATTTGATTCCGTGCATGTTTCCTCATCTGTAGAATTGCTATAGTGATTGCATTACTATTATAAAGCACCTGGAAATTACTAAGAATCACTCTAAAATAATTTACTTTTTTTTCCCCCCCCCTATACATAATTGCAGGTTAATAGATCCTCAAACCCAAGTTACACGAACAAGTGTAAGTCACTTTTGTTTTGAATTTGATTTTCTACCACAGCATTGAATACTCAGTCACATGAACTTGAGCTCTTGTCAAGCTAACCAAATGCTGGTTAAAAAAAAATAAATTCTTTATTGTACTTTTCCAGTTTGAACTTGCCACTGTGACACAGTTTGCTGCTCATCAGGATAACAGGCGACTGATCGGCTTTGTGGTCCATCTCAGTGAGACTCTGGGAGAAGAATCCATGAGTGCATATATTTTTGAGAGCAACACAGAAGGGGAAAAGGTTTGCATAACATTTAATGAAACACTTTATGTAGAAAACAGGTCTTGGGCTTCTTGACTTACACATCTGGGAAACGGTGCTACAGAAGCAAGAGCAGCTCAATTTCTTGCCAAGAAAACATGACTTAACATGCAGGCCTTAGATGGCTCATGTCTAAAAAAGGACCAAATTTACAGAGAAAGCAGAGGCATGGACAGCAAGAAGAACAGATGTGATGATTGCTAATATCAACATTAAGAGAGAGGGCAAAGTGTGTGTGGAGCACCAGCACGAACAAAAAGGAATATTGGCTAAGTTGAGACATGTACCTCTGCACAGTTCTCAAAGACAAAAGACAGCCACACTCTCTTAACGCCACGGCATGCTTGCTGCCTATGATAATAACAGACTATTAGAAATAAGGAATGTGCTGGAGAATTTTTGTCTTAAAAACCAGTAATACTCTTCCATGCACTGGAAAAGATCCCTCAGGTTTGGAAGTAAAGTTTCGTGAATAAAACTGAGTTGAGTACAAGGGTTGACCAGCCTAAGAGAGCTTTGAAGCAGAACCTGAGATGATAGTTTTGGGGTTTTTTTGTAGTTAGCATGGTGAATTGGTATTCCACCTGTGCTTTTAGGCCTGTATTTAAGACTTAAGTTTGGATTGACACTCTGTGTTTTAGTCCTGATTAAGGAACAAAAAACCAAACCAAAACTCAACTTTACATATATTTCTTTTTTTAGATTTGCTATGCTATTAGCTTGGGAAAAGAAATCATTGAGGCACAGAAGGTAAGTTTGTTTCATTCACCTGTCTGTGTTGTGATACATCATGGTCTGCTTTCGGTTGCACCATCCAGGTACCTCTGGTATGAAAAAGGAACTACTGTTCCCCCTAGTGACAAAGTTTTGCAGACATCATTTAACACAGCCCCTGGGTAGTTCATGCAAAAATAAACTCAATTTGACTTTGCAGTAGCTTGATTTGAGATAAAATTTGCTACCGTAAATCAAATTCAGTACTATACAAATCCAATTGTGGATGTTTGAAAGGAAGCTGTGAGCAAAGTTTTCAAAAACAACCCCAAACAAACTCTTTGGGATGAAGTGTACATCACATACGTTGATGTTTCGTTGTGAGAAATTCATATTCCTTCCTCCCTTAAGGAGGAAAAACACACAGCTATTTTTTCCCCACTTAAAAATGAATGGCAAAGTTACCTAGCCCCGTGTAGAGAAGTTTATCTAAAGATGCAATGCTAATACATTAATATTTGCTGTGTAAGATTTCAGAAAAAGCTGGGGGAATGAACTTTTAGTCACAGGCAATAAGCACATGTATAATAAATAATTGATTTAGTTACTTTTCTCCTTGTTTTTCAGTAATTATATCAATGCCAGATAAGAACAGCAAAATAAAGGCTCAAAATTAATAACTTTTTTTACACTCAAGGGGTGGTTTTACTGAACCAAAAGGGATTATTTATGTTTGAAACCATTAGACTGAAGGCTGTCAGTAAAAAAAAAAACAAGTACTGGTTTTTGTTAAAAACCTTAACAAGTACTGGTGAAACAGTGTGTTCCTCACCTTGATGCAGACTGCTGAACTGTCTTGTTTTGGGTCAGGACCCAGAAGCATTAGCTCAGCTAATGAAGTCTATGCCATTAACAAACGATGGGAAGTTCATGCTTCTGAACGATCAGTCAGAAGAGGATGGAACCATACATGAAGAAGGGGAGGAATCAGAAGCATAAAAAACTCTTGTTTCCTGGAGCCTGTGCAGGAGCAGGAAAAGCAGGGACGCATTTTGCAGGAATCTTTGGTTTTCAGTCACCTGCGCAGACTGGAGGCCAGCTTCTCTCTTCCTGCTGGAGAGACTGCAGCCTCTTTGCAGTGAAGTTTCCTCTGGATTTACATCAGAACAACAGCAGGACTTGGCCTTTGAGGCTTTCTGCATTTGTGAAGGGGTGGTGTATCGGTGGGTCCGGGAAGCTGACAATCCTCGGGAAGGTTTCAGCATTAGCCCCTTGCTGCTGGTAGTCAGGACAGCACGGCTGTCGGCCACAAAGGGTTAATGTCACTTCTTCAGAGTTACACGGTGAGCAGCCTGCAATTCCACTGAAATTAGTGCAAGCTGTAAGCTCTCAGCCCCTTTAGCAAACATGAGGACTCAAATTTCCAGCCATAGTCAATTTTCATAATTTGCATGATGATGTGCATCTGAATGAAGGTTAAAAATGCACTATTTACTTTATTTTCAGATGAAGTTATTTTTAGTCTAGTTTAAGTGTAACAAGATTTATCTTTTGCGCTAGTCTATTTACAAAACAATTTGTTAAACACTAAATTTTTCCTATTAATATAATCTATTTTTATATTGCATCTAGAATAAGCTTACAAAACAAATCTAAGTGCCTACTCTTACCTTCATGGGGACCGCACTCACACATTCTGTAATTAAATAATGGACATAATGTACCTCCTTGATTTATTATTCTAAAAATGCCACTGACATGCAAACATCAGAAGTAATCAACAAATGTGGCGTGTTAGTTGTGTGCAGTTTTTCTATGGTTAGGCTTCTTAAAAGTTAAGTTGCCGGAGATTATAATTGTAGAACAAATAAGTACTTTTATAGTAAGAATTCTTTGTATTTTTAATATTATGGTGACATGCAACAGCCAAGTCTACCAGCAATCTTGGTTTTAAGAAACTGAGCAATAAAATGCTAGATTTTAAGTCTACAATGTATTGAACTAGTCTCATAGTACCTTCCTGAAATTAGACACTAGATATATTTGGCTAATAAATTCAGATTTTTTCACTCCAGTTTAACCTGAAAACTTGAGAAACTGTACTTAGCAAGAACAAACAA